TTGAACTCAGTCTAAATCTACTCCGGTGTGCTTTGATGCAAACCTCTCTTACAGAAGGCAAAATAGAAGAGTCCATTTTCTATTTCATTCTTGCACCTTTAGCTAAGTGTGTGTGTGATGGTGTTAAACAGGTGGCAATTTTGAACTTGGAAGCTTGTTCCATTTCCAGTGTTTTCAGTAATTCTGTCTTTCTTTCAGCAAGTATTTACCAAGTACCACCTATTTCCTGATTCTATAGTAGCTAAGCACTGGAGAAAACAATGCTCAGTAAAACTCAGACTCCACCTTCAACTTGGTTACTATATTATAATATTTAAAGTAGCCTTCATTAAAAGAAAACATGGAATACTGAAATGAATGAGATAACATCTATTCATTGACTTAAAAAGATACCTGAGATACTGTTAATTTAAAAAGTAGGCTGGGTTCAAACTGTGGCTCCCGCATGTAATCCCAGCTCTTTGGGAGGCCGACGTGGGAGGATCACCTGAGGCCAGGAGATCAAGATTGCAGTGAACTTTGATCATGTCACTGCACTTAGCCTGGGCAGCAGAGTTAGACCCCATCTCTAAAAAAAATACATTGCAGCCCATGAGATGTAGCATTAGTTTCCTTTTTTTTTGTTAAAAAAATTAAATGTGCATAGGTATGTGTGTATGAATTATATAAAAAATATCTTAAAGACAAGGCTCAGAAAATTTAAATATTTTACCCAAGATTACGAAACTAGTAAATGGCAGATCAATCATATAAACCTGTGTAGTCCCTCTCCAGAGGTTGTACCCTACACACTATGCTATTCTAAGTGCCAGTTTCTGAGCTTCTAAATACTGGTCCAATTGTCAATGGGGGTTTTAGTTTTTATGCATTAATGGAAAGAGATTATTAATTTTAGGTTAGGATTCTGACAGTCCTAGTATCCAAATTTATTTTTCAGCCCATCAGGGATGGTGAAAGAACTTTTATGATTTCTGCATCTTATGAGAAATGAACAGATGCTGGTGATAAAATTGTAACTAACATGTTGTTGCTTACATTCTGGTTTTTTCCCTCTGGGCAAGCATCTTGGCATAATGGAAAAATCATGGGCTTTAGCTTCAGTTAGATTTCAGTTTAATTCTGGCTTCGACATTTTCTAGTGCAAGCCTGTGGTTGAGGCACATTACTTTGTTTCTTTACTTGTAAGATAAGAATGATAATACTGCCCTTTCGGGTTGGTTGTGAGGATTACATGAAATAATGTAGGTAAAAGACCTTTAATGTAGAGTCAGGCATATAGTAAGATCTTAGTAAATATTCAGTCACTTCTTCAGGTAGGTGTCTTAGAATTAATTCCAGGATTAGTCTTGGGAAACATATTGTACCTCTTTTTCTCCTATAAAATGCAGTTATAACTGCTGCTGGATAATGAATATTCTGTGAAAAAATATTATTTAATAATATTTTAAGTTGCCTGATTAATTCAGCACCTTCTTATATACAGACTCAAATGATTTGTGACAGTTAATACATTTATTCTTAATCATTCTGCATTTCTAATCATTGTGACATAAAACATAACCAATTATCTTATAAACATATATTTTGAAACTCATGATCTGGTATTATAGGAACATTTTATCTCAAGTCATACTAAACTCATGTAGCATTCTTTGAGTAGTTTTCTCATGTGAGCTTTTATTGCCTTGATCTTTTCAATGTTTGCACAGTTTTGTCTATTTTGAAATACTTTTTTCTATTATTTTTGCTAATCTTATTTTCTATTTAATATTAAATGTTACCAATTTCTATTAATGCTTTTTTCCCATCTTTTCCCTTTGGGTCATTTAAAAAAGTAATGGATTTTACTCTGTTGCTTGTACAGAAAAATCTCCTGGTATATTTATTATTAGAGTGATTACAGCACCTGTGGTGCTAATTGGTATCTTGTATAGTTTGGAATCATGATGCCTTCTCAAAAAGGGTGGCAGAGAGCAACTAGATTCTGGCTGGAGAACTGAGAAGCTGTCTTTCCATTTGGTTAGTTTATTTAAAATCCTCTTTCCCATAATTTGATAATTGAGCATTATCTATTATTTATCCAATAGATTAGCTCAGTTTCAAAATACTTATTTTATATGTGACTTTATTACTTAACCACCTAAGACAAAAGGTATTGGGTTTAAAGAAATCCAAGAACAAGGAAATATTTAAGGACCTCCCTTTCATGGCTACTACTTCATTTTGAAATGAAATGGAGATATATGAAAACCATCTTCTTTTAAAAGCACAATTTTTACTTTCTACCTCTGTGAATTTATTTAATTTATTCTTAATGGAATTTCTTATTTTTAAAAATAATTTCCTTTGGATTTTATTCTCACTATATTATCTCAGCATAATAATGGAAATGAAGTATGTTCATTATTAGTAAAATTTACTTGTTTTATTCTGTACTCTTATGTACATTATCAATTCAGTAATTGGAGATAATATTTTAACAGTAAAATGGAATGATTTTTTTCTCTTTATTATCAGGCAATTTCCTAAGTTTGCTTGTTTGTTAAACTTAATAAGCTGTACGGGAATTTCTTGTTTTCTTTTCTGGGACAGTACTTTTAAAATAAGAAAGCTGGTGCATGAGAGTGGTTGAGTATATAAATGAAGTTGTTAGATGTTAGTAAGAACAATAATGGAAAAGTCCAGAAATTCTTTAAGTAGATTGGAAATAAATGAAGAAATTTTATACTTTCCTGTTAACATAAGTGCAGTATAGTTCCACAGACTGAGCACCCCTTAATTCTAAATTGTAAATTAGAAATTTTTTCATTTTTTTCCTTTAGGTGGATTGAAGTCAAATTCTCCCACACGTGTGCCAAGCCTAGATGAATTTTTATTCTGTATACGTGGTTATCCAGCCTCCATCTGTAGTCTGGGATACTTAGTCACTCTCGTGATGACCTAATTCTTTTGTATCTCCTGACTATCACATATCGGTGGTCCTAACTGAAATAATTTAAGAAAAATTGATCCTTAAACAGCAGATAGGGAAAGCTTACTCCCCAAATATTTATTTGAATCTAGATGACAGGAAATAAAATACCTTCTTATGTTTCATTTATTTTGGAAGCCGAAAAATTTCTTTAATGTACTATACAAGGGACCTTGCTTCTCTGTTAAATAAGCTCCATAACATCTGTCTTATAAAACTACTGCTGGCGTTTATTGTCCAGGAGTGGGGATTATTGATGTGTATGTATAAAGTGCTAGTGTGGGCTACCCATACATAGCGGATAATCAACAAGAGGCAACTGCTGCTTTTATTCTATAATAATGTCTGGAACAAATGCCAATACATACCTTCTGCTGAAGGTGCTCGTTTGTGTCCTGATTATGACTACTGTTCTTGCTTTCTTGAATCTTTGCTCTTGGACAGTAAATAATGCCAGCAAACACTAAAGGTGGCCATTTTTTCTTCTCTCTAAAGAAAAATTTAATATTGACTACAGTTAAACTAAGACATTCGTGTTATGTTTATAAGGCAGATATTCTTGGGAAGAAAGTGATTTTTTAAAAGATGTCTCTTTAAATGGTCTTAGCTAATGTTTGAAGTCTTGCATACTTGAAAAATCTTTATTCAATTAATGAGTGGTTTGATATAGAATTCTACTTAGAAAATAATTTTCCCTTTTGAAAGTATTTAAAGCCTATTAGATTGGCTTCTGTCTTCCATTGGTTCTATTGAGAAGTTGTTTTTTTGTTTTTTTGGGTTTTTTGGTACCATTTTTGAATCTTGCTCTTTAGTTTGTGACCTGTTTTGTCACTCAGGAACCCTTAAAGATCTCTCTTTATTCCTGTTGTTTTAAACAATTTACATGATATCTTTTTGCCTCCAGTGACTTGGAAATGCATGGGGACAGTTTTGGTAGTCAAAGTGACTGGAGTTGCTGGGAGAGGGTACTTTTGGCATTTAGTGTGTAGAGGTCAATAAGATTAATTTTCTTGCAGTGCAGGGAACCCAGTCTCATCTAAAATGTCAATAATGCCTCTCTTTGGAAATGTTGTGACCCTGGGGAAATAAAAGAATAATTATGACCTGCATGTTGATTATGGTATATGACAAGTGAAACAAGACATGTACACCAAAGACCAATCAATATGTTTGGTATAATAATGTTATAAACATGCTATTTCAAATAATGAGGGAAGAAAGTATAAATGATATGGTACAAAATTAAATAGAATAAAAATCACTATGTAAAATATAGCCTTTAAAATTATTTATAAATATATATTTACCATGTTACTGCTTTCGCTTTCAAGTTGGACATTATATGCACTATTATGCCTAGTAATGTTTTTGACACTTTTTTCTGTATTTCCATTTTTGACACATTTTTCTGTATTTCCAAGTAGTACCTACTCTTACTTAATTACTTTGACGGATCAAGAAAATTATTGACCCTTTTCTATAGTAGGACATCTATTTGTAACACAAACATGTAACAATTCCAGATCCAGAAAGATTTAAGAAGGAACATTTTTGCAAAGGCTAGAACATGACTGAAAATAATAGCCGTACATTTCTAAATTAGAATGGGATTCAGAAAGGAGCAAGGGTTGTACTTGTGCAGTTTCATAGCAGTTTCTGAGTTAGCAATTTGCAATTCTATTTCATTGATGTTTTGGAAAATGAATTACCAGAATAGCATATATAGATAGCCATATTGTAAGAATGCAAACATTCAGGGACAAAGACAAATGGCTTTTGATTTTCCACCATTTTTATCATGATTCATATTATGGTTTACTAATGTGGCTAATTAGAAGAGTATACATTAGAAATATAACACTCTAAGGAAGCACAGAGGGATTAAGATAATGAGATGGGAAGATGGGGGAAGATTTTAAAATAGTTCAATAATTTTGTATTAATAGAATAATTTTTAAGCATTTTTAAATGAAATATTAATGCAGAATCTTCATTTTAATTGTGTGTATAACATACTTTTACTTTTCAGAACCTAAGTCACAGCCACAGCAGCTTCATCAGGGACAACATAGATTGTCAAATACTGATCAAAATGGAATAAAAGAAAATAATCAACCAAGACATCTTCCTAGAAATGATAGCAGGCAGCCAAGAAATGAAAAACCTCCTCGTTTTCAAAGAGACTCCCAACATTCAAAGTCAATTTTAGAGGGCAGCGGATTACCTAGAAATAGAGGTTCTGAGAGACCGAATACTTGTTCAGGATCTGAAGTATGGGCTGAAGAGAGAGTCAAGTGTGATAGACCGTATTCTAGATATGACAGAACTAAAGATACTTCTTATCCTTTAGGTTCTCAGCTCAATGATGGTGCTTTCAGAAAAAGAGATAACTCTATGCAAAACAGATCAGGAAAAGGTCCATCCTATGCAGAGGCAAAAGAAAATCCACTTCCTCAAGAATCCATAGATTATAATAATCAAAAACGTGGAAAAAGAGAAAACCAAACAGCTAATCCTGATCATTTTTATGATAGGAAATCACGAACAATAAGTAATGAAGCTTTCAGTGGTATAAAAATTGAAAAACATTTTAATGTAAATACCGATTGCCTGAATCCCGTTCGAAGTAATAGCTTCATTGGTGTTCCAAATGGAGAGACAGAAATGCCTCTGAGAGGAAAACGAGTAGGACCTATTAAGCCAGCAGGACCCCTCACAGCTATTCCCTATGATGATAAAATATTTTACAATAGTGGGCCCAAAAGAAGATCTGGGCCAATTAAGCCAGAAAAAGTACTAGAATCATCTATTCCTATGGAGTATGCAAAAATGTGGAAGCCTGGAGATGAATGTTTTGCACTTTATTGGGAAGACAACAAGGTAAGGATATTTTGTACTAATATTAATAAATGTAACATTCTAATAGAACTTTTATAGAAAACCATTACTTTGGGACTATGAGTTTTGTTTTACAGTTGTACCTTTGAACATGTTTATAGATACAAATTTTATATAAATTTAGATGTAAGTTTTATATAATTTATAAAAGAGAAGATAGACAAAATATTTAATATATTTTATGGATACTTAGGGAGAATATGTCCTATAAGGTTTGCTTTGGTTAGGTTTGGTTTTAGCTTACGTATCAGAAAAGTATCATAAAAGTGATTAAGTGAAATTGAACTTTATTTCACTTATCAGCTGAATTATAAATGTTTGATTTTCTTTCTGGTAAAATTATACTGATTCACAAGGAAGAAAATCAGCTGAATGGCACAAAATGAAATTCTGCAGATCTTTATTTAAAGAAAATATACACATTCAGCCTACTTTTTACAATAATTAAGAGAGTATAAGTTAATTATTTACCTTATAATAAATAATTTAATAATTGTTAAGCCAATAATGTAAACGTTCTTTAGCTCTACATTATATGCTGGCTAAGAGGAAAAGAGGAAAATTGTAGAGGAAAGACAGAAGGAAAACCAGAAGATAAGGGCAAAAAGGAATATAGAGGATCAAATAAGAGCCTGGCTGAAAGGCAGAAGACCATCACAGTGACAGCAGGAAGGGGAAAAGGACAGAGGGACCCTCAGAGAGAAGGGCCTTTGCCCCTGTTTTTCCCTCTGCCCGACATGCTCTTCTACCAGCTACTCTTTGAGAGTTTGACTCAAGCATTGCCCCCTAGAAGAAGCCTCCTTTGACCCTGTTACATCCTTCTACCTACATTATTCACTTTCTCAATCAGTGCCTTGTTCACTTTTCATATCTTATCATAATTTGTAAATATGTTTGATTTTGGTTCCTAGATTGGTATCTCTTTCCCCTCTCATGACATTAAGTTCCTTGAGGACTGAACTATGTCTGTCTAGTTTTCTTCTGTAGTCCTGCTTCTCCCACAGTGTAGGGATTGCATAATTATTTGTTGATTGTGTTATTTAGTTAATTCTGGAGGGGACACTTATATATGAAAAGGGTAGAGGAGCAAGGGGACTGGAAATATTAGCAAGGTAATAAAAACAGATATAAGGGAGTTAGAGTGAAGGATATGAAGGATAGATGTGAGAATCAGGTCAAAGAGGACAAATATTTGAAATAAATATTTCATAGGTAGAGTAGTTTCAGTTGATAAGGTAATGATGTGTCCATGAGAGTGTGTGGCTAAAGGGAATGGTGAAAGTGAAGGTAACTGAAGATTTCAAGGAACTGAAATTCAGACTAGGAAATTTGGACAGATCCTTTATAAAGTTGTTATAGGACTTGGAATCAGGACCCAGGCCCTGTTGTGTTCAGTGAACGATGAAGTATAAGCAGGACATTAGGCATTGCCTGATAATAGAACAAGGAGGAGTACAGGGTTATACAGCTGGGTGGCATGGGCATTTAAGATTTTTGTATGAATGTGGGATAATATTTGTGTAGAAGTAGCATCTGTAGCTGTCAATGCTAGAAGGAGAGGAGGAGATAGCACTATATATCTTGTCTTTTTTTCTAGAAAAGCAAAAGCCTTTCCAGGAATACCAGCAGAGTTTTATTTAAATCTCTTTGGTTGGAACTATTTCACATGGCTACTCTCTGGCTGTCAGGGAGGCTTAGAAAGCAAAGGCAGGTGCTTTTCACTATCTAGGCTCTTAGTCTCACAACTCATGCCACTTACTTTCCAGAATTCAGGAATTATTTGATTTGGATAGTGGGGGATTCATTATATTTAGCTATCCCTCTGTCATTGTACAGGAAAGAAAAATTGAAGTAGTTGGAAATGTGTTTACCGAGCCAACAGTGTCTACCATAGAGGGAATGGCCACTATTTCAGATGCTTCTGTGAAAAGTTAAGAATGAGGATGAAAAAGTGTTTTCTGTATTGGACAGTGTGGAGTTGTTGGTGGCCTTGACATGAGCAGAAGTAAGAGATTGGAGTTCAAATTCAATAGTGTTTGAAAGGCTTGGTAAACAACTTAAGACTTTCCATTGAAATCCCACAGGGATTGTTCCCTGAGTAGTAAGGGCAAAACTAAAACAGACAGCCCTTACAAAGCCAAAAGGAACCCTTTAAAGGATCAAGGATATCAGTGTGTACGCTGCCTGCTAATATATATATATATATATATATATATATATATATATATATAAATAAATAATCCTCTTTTTAGGAAAAATAACATCTTCTAAAACCTCTTCAATATTTAATCTGCAATGTCTGGCATCCTGTAAAAAGTTATGAGCCATGGTTAATAAAACAGAGAGAGAGAGAGTGAATGAAATGAATAAATATGAATGATTGACCAAAAACAAATGAAACAGCAGAGAAAAATAATAAGCCTACAAGGATTCAGATAATTGGACTTGACAGACAAGTTCCTTCAACAAATATTAATTGAGTATTCAACAAATCATAATCGAGTGACTGCTAAGTGCCAGGTGCTCAGGATATATCAGATAGTTCTGGCTGTGCTATTACCCAAATGCCTCCAAATACCTGATAAAATTATTAATAAAGCTTTAATATTAATTGTAATTGTCACAAAAATAAATAATACTGAATTCATCTATTGCCTCTGCTGAATAGATTCAAAATTATGTAATATAGCATCTAATACTGCAGTTCCCAAACCCTGGGCCAGGAGCTGGTACCAGTCTAGGGCCTGTGAGGGACTGGGCCTCAGAGCTCTGCATCCCCACCTCACCCTCACTCCCAGTCCATGGAAAAATTGTCTTCCATGAAACTTAGGAACTGAGGGGCTGCCCTGCAGGAGGTGAGCAGCAGGCGAGTGAGTGAAGCTTCATCTGTATTTACAGTCGCTCCTCATCACTGGCATCACTACCTCAGCTCACCCCCACCCAACCTTCCGTGGAAAAAGTATCTTCAATGAAACCAGTCCCTGGTGCCAAAAAAGTTGGGGACCACGGGTCTAAAAGATGGTACCTAACAATTCCCGAAATGTTTTGAGCTATTAGAGTATTCTTAGAGTAATTAGATGATCCTCTAAAGTGACTACTTGATTTAAATTGGATGTGTGCTTTCAATTTTAGTGAGGAACTGTGGACTCTAAGTAGATTATACTATTAAGCATTGGGAATAAGGTAAATAATACCTTGGGAAAGAGATGGAATTAGTTATCTTCTGAAACCACTAACTGAGGAGGTAGCTTTTAAATGTCAAGAGTAGGCAGTGTTCCAATTTTCTAGCCAGAGACCTGAGTAGAGATTCAAGAGAAGGAATTGATTATCATTGCCATTAAGAAACCATAATTTTCTTTATTTCATTGTAATGATGTTTCGGAGATAATCAATTGGTATAATCTATTGTTTAAAAAATTTCTCATAATACGTTACGTTCTCTCTAGCTTTATTTCCATAGATGGATTTGAGAATTTGGGGCAGTTCTTCTTCCTCTGTACTGACAAAACTAGTTCAGTTCTTTTTTCCCTTCTCAACTGAAATATTACAACCTCCAAATTGGTTTCCTTGCTTTAAACCTTCTTAAATTGTCATTGATACTGCTGCCACTGTGATCCTGGTCATAGACCATGTCATTCTTTCTAGTTAATCTTTTCATCTGTAGAATAAATTCAGACTTTAGCATTTTTTATCAGGTTTGTGTCACAATAAACCCATTGTAAGTTGAAAATATCATAAGTTGAAAATGCATTTTATATACCTAACTTACTGGACATCATAGCTTAGCCTAGGCTTCCTTAAATGTGCTCAGAACACTTTTGTTAGCTTAAAGTTGGACAAAATCATCTCACACAAATCCTTTTACATAATAAACTCTTAAATATCTCCTATAATTTATTGAATACTGCCTTAGGGACTGTCTGTACATGGCTTTATTTGGAGCAGGGTTTCTTAAGTGAGATTTTTAAAAACTGACTTCTTTCTCAGGCTGTATTTTGGAAAGTTGAAGATACGAGGCAGACAGGTGGGATACTACACTCCTTCAGTATCCTCACAGCATCACAAGGGACAAAGACTAAACTTAAAAGGGTATCAATTTACTTGTTGAGTCATGCTAGAATATAGCATATTTGTTGAACTTACCTGAACTGACAAGCTTACAGCTGAAGCATATATCCAGAATACTCAAAACAATTCACAGAACACAAAAGTATGAGGCTAAGAAATAAAGGAAGCAGAGAGAGAAGGAAAGTATACCAAGAACTCTAAGAAGAGGAAAATTCTAGCATAGTGTCCCTAAACTTGCTAGCATCCAGACCTGGGAAGGAAACACCATAGATTTACATATCTTTGTAATATGAAATATACTAGTTACTAGTTAAATATACTAGCTAATAATATGCTAGTTAAAAACCAACTCTTTCCTAGCATACCAAGGGTAACTCATTTTTAGAAGGTTGTGAAAAATATGAATTTTTGTTGCCTTCAGCATTTTCTGATTCTGATGAGCCTATTAAAAGATACTGTTAGAGTAGTGTTATAGTAGAGCATCCAACTACCCTAGCTTGAAGAAAATATTCCTTAAGAGAAAATTGTTTTGCATTTTCATTTCACATTTACTAAGCAGCATTCAGACTTAATTTGGGTCCTGAATGGGTTGACTTGTATTGGAGGAGTACTCCAATCAGAAAACCTACTCCCAGTTAATTTAACACATTTTAAAATTGTAGTTCTTATGTAAATCGGTTCCTTGTGAGTTTGTTAATGTGCGTCACTTCTTAAAGCCAGTTATCATTTGAGTAAACTGATAAAAGTTTCTGGACTTGCAGTGTCTCTAATCCTATAACTGCTGGATCTAAGTAATGTGCTTATTTGTTGCCCAACATCTCTGCCTCAGTCCAGGCACCTGAGATGAGTGAAGCAACTAGCCACCTTCTTTGCCATTTATATTTGTCACATATTTCTGTTTTTAAAATAAATTACTTCATAGTTATATAATCTGATTAGTATATAAGAATTGTTTTATCAATGTTAGTCGAAGGATTATCCAAAGGTAAGTTTTCTTTCTTAAAAATATTACACATTGGAACACTTTGAGAATTTACATTTCTATCAAATGTTGCCCTTTGTAGACAATACTGATTGTCATAATTAAAACTCCTTTTGCCTCCTCAGTTTTACAGGGCAGAAGTGGAAGCCCTCCATTCTTCAGGTATGACGGCAGTTGTTAAATTCATTGATTATGGAAACTATGAAGAGGTGCTACTAAGCAATATCAAGCCCATTCAGACGGAGGCATGGGTACGTGATCCAAATTCTGTACAAAGGCATAAGCTATTTTGAAGAAAATACTTAGCTCTAAAAGATTAGTCATAGTTATACAAAATTTGCAAGTGGGAAATTATTTTGAATTTACTTATAACATGCTACCCCTAAAGTAAAATTTTAATTTAATTCTTACACTGAACTACAGTAAACATAAATGCATTAGAATTACTTTTTTTGTATAATGCTTTGTTGTATTATGCTTTGGAAATAGGTGCCCTTATTTACATGTTTGCCAAAATTTTGTATGTGTAAAGTGGGTTTTTATGCATATTTTGTTCTTTCCAAGTTTGTTACTTTAAATTTTACTAAATCATGTCCAGCAGTTGTCAAATTTAAATCTCTCTTGGATACATGTATATTGTTTATTATTTTAGTTACATGTAAAATTAAGAAAAACACTTTAAATTATACATGAATTCATACTACATTTACTGCATACATATTTATATATGTACAGATTAACTATAAATATCTGTTTAATAATTATTTGATTAGTTTTGTTGCCAAATGTTATGTCAAAGCTGTGTGATAACTTTGATGATGTAACTTAGAACTTAATGCCCTCATGGAGTCCATTTTATATGGGACTTATGTGACTTTATACAGATAGATCCTTAACTACATTTAGGCAAAAACAGGAGTGTAAGACATTAAAATTAGTTTCGTAAAGTTTTTCTTAATTCTTTCATTTCTCTAATTTGTGGATAACTGTTAATAAAGTTATCATTATAAGCCTATTGTTTGCTATTTCCCTAAAATATCAAATATGCTAGAAAATTATATCATCCAGACAGTAGCTTTCATCATTGAAAGAAAGATACATTGTTTTCTCATGAGCTGCTTTTAGCCTTGGTATTTTAAAATTTTTCTGTCATGTCTTCACATCCTGCCCCCCCAAAAAGATAAAGAAAACAACAGAAACCTAATAGTAGTAATCATGTTTTAGGCCATGGATCTTTAGTTTTTACCTTTTTAGTATTAAAAAATTGTCATTTTCTACATAATTTATCATTTCATATTTTACAGCTTATTACTAATGGTTCATGTTTAATTAAGAGATCCTTTCCTTCACTCTCATTCTCTAAAGTTTACCTGCTTTTTCCCTAAAAAGTAAAATACCACCAATATCTAATTTATGTCTGTCTTGAACAAACTTGATGTAATGATATTTTTACCCTTCTGATTCTCATATGGTATCTATTTTCATTCTTTTTCATTAATACTTTTAATCTAGTTTTGATGGTAAAGTAATTATTTGTTGAATCTATATTTCTAAAAGTTGAGTCTTGGTTTGCTATTCATTGTATCTTCCCAATTGTTTTTAGCAATAGCAGTCAAATATTCAAAATAGAGTTCTTCTGTTATTTAGCTTTTTAAATTTTTTTAGACGACTTAATGAGATTTATTCTTTTCTCCCTAAAGAAAAATTTAGTTTTCTTACTTTGTTTCTTCTCTCCTTCCTTTTGCTATTCCAGGGTGGCCATAACTGATGAGCACATTTGTTATTCCCTACTGTAGCTCTTCCATTTAGAGGTGTTTGGTCCTGAAGTGATAATTTCTTTCTGCAGTCAGTGACTATTCCTTTTTCTCCCTTAATAGTTCTCATTGCTTTATCCTTGATTTTAGGTCTATGTAAACTTAGCTGCACATTAAATTTATCAGGTGTCACAACTTATTTAGTGATTCTGTTCTGAACCACAGCAGTACTTCCATAGTCTTCTTACACATTTGTGAATACTCATCTATACTTTATTGTGCTTTTTTTTAAAACCTGTTTTCTTTTTCTGCGGTCAACTTAAAAATCTTTTATAAGATGCCTGAAATATTTTGCAGGAAGAAGCAGGATAGATTCACTAAATCTTTTGGAGATTCTGGTATTTCATTCCTCCTACTTTTGTAATCAAGTGATTGTTGATGTTTTATGAATTTGCATAAATTAATATAACATTTTTGGATCATGCACATCATTATTAAGGAAAAGAGCAGCCTTCTTTATCCACATGAATAATTAACTTAGTTGAGAGAAATGTCTCCTTCTTGAAATATAGAGGCCAGTAACTTAATGTAGCTTCACCCATTTCCATTAAAAAAAAAATACATATGTGAGCATAGATATAAAAAGCCCCTGAAGAAGTACACTCTGTGTGGCTGTCAGTACATGTAATGTAGAGCTAGCGTAGAGTTCTCTTAGCCTCTGAGAGCATTAATAGTGGGGTCTGTGAGTACATTTATTTTTGTAATTAGGGACCTGTAACAAGTTTTAAGTTAATCAAAGATGTACAAAATTATCAAAAGCAGACATTCACTGTACCAGTAAGAAGGTAACTCTAATTGTTAAGTCATGGTAGAAAAATTAAACGGCTGCAAAGGTGCAGGGAAGTTGTTAGGGGCCTTAGCACAATCACACGATGGATTGTGGAATTTTTAATTTTTTAACTCTTGCACTATATATGTGCATTACTATTTTTTATTGTGAAATGGTATTGTATCTTTTATTAAGGTTTATGTTTGTTATTGGTACAAGATTTTCGAAAACTTCTTATTTTCCATGTTCACTGATCATTTAGGGAAGATTTTTTTAAAGTAGTTTGCAGAAAAACAATCAAGCCTGCCTATAAACCAAAAGTCTTTATAGAAATCAGTTGCTTGTATTGTCTCTTAAAGGTGCAAGGATAAATCATTAAATAGAAAGCATGAAATAGTAAGAGACTCAATGACTAAGTCAAAATGTGTCATATGGAAAATTAAAATAAATATCAAGTTAATATTTTAAATCCAAGTGTTAATGTTTTTCTCATAAGATTTAGGAATTATTTGCCTTAAATCTGTCTGTAGGCCAAATATCTGTTTCCTCTTTCCTTCTGGATATACCTTCTTACTTCCAGAACATACTTACTCAGTGATAGTATTTTAGATTGCCAAAATATATGTTATGATTATGATTAAATATTTTATTTTCTTCAGAATGATTTGTTAAACTTTTTGGTAAGTCATATTTTATTTGTTCTTGCTAGATTTTACCTATTTCTTTTGGTTATCATAAGATGGTCTCTCTTAATTTAGTGTCTTTACTGTAGTGAACTTCCTAATTATCACACATAATGTGAGATTCACGGCTTGTTATTAACTGGGTAAATGCTCTAATTTATTTTTTCAAAGAATCAGTTCTTTTTTTCTTATTTTAGCAAAGTAAATGAAGCATTATGGAGTCTTGTGTTTTACTTGTAAAATTATATGAGAAAACATTATTTTGTATTTCTTACCACTGTATGAGAAAACTTTAGGGGCAAAGAAAACCTGCTATTTGTGTTCCCTGCAGTCCCTTTCCAAATTGCTTCCTTTAAACTCTAAAACTAATTCCAGGAAACCAGTAAAAAGATGCCACAGGCAATTTGGAAGCATTGTAAATACCTTAGTGCTGCTATTCAGGCAAACCTTTTGTATTTTGGGGGTGGTGTTGGTTCTGAATTGCTCTTCTAAACCTGGGAAGACACTATACTATCAAGTCTTGATTTTCCAAGTCTATTTATGATCTAGCTTCTGTTCAGACTTTTATATCCCAAGAAGTATTTTAGAACATGCTGATATGTAAATTTTCTTTTTAAAAGTTCATAGTATCTGCTTCTTGGTATTAGGAAATGATCATTGTACAACCATTGTTCCAACTAGAAAAATTATGAATTTATAGAAAATTGTTAGTTCTAAGACCTTAACATACATATCATCTTGGGCAGTAATTCTGTAAAGTGACAGGTGGATTTTTATTGTCTTTTAGGTGATCATCCTATCTTAAGTGTGTTTCTGTGAAATGTTCATTTATTCAACAAATATTCATTGTACATCTGTTAGATACCAGACACTGTTCTAAGTGAGGGGTATATATAACTCCATAAAACACACAAAAAATCCCTGCCTTCTGCACAAAGTTAAGAGAGTTAGAGTTTCTGTTACATGAAACAAACTTAGATATCTCATTGTCTTTATTCTTACTTCTTAAAGCTTTAAAACAAAATACAAGTGGAGAAAATCCTCGTGTTCACTGAAGTTTTAATTTAAATAATGTGTATGTCTTTATTTTATTTCACCTTAGTTTGAAGGTGAACTTAATATGGAAGAAGAAGGTATAACATAATGAATTTTATCTATT